GAGGCAGAGAGGGGGCCAGAACCGTATGCCAGTTATCAGCTGCCTTCAAAGTCAGACATCAGTAAGGCAGAGGAACAGCTGGAGCCTATTCCCAGTGTGCGCATGCACAGAGTTGCCAGACAAAGAACAGGGGTCGACTTGGGAGAAAGGCCACAGGTGGGACGGTGAATGGCCCCTCCCAGAGGAAATAAAAGAGGAGCGAAAGGGGAGTGGAGTTTGCAGGAGACAATTAGTTTACTTAATTGGTTCGTGACTCTCGGATGCTCCTTGCCAAGTTTTGCAGATATCGGCCTGGCAGCTCTCCAACCCAGATAAGGTCTGTGACTGTAAATCACAGCCTCCTCGAAAGACTTTGCTGGATGTGAATGAGCAGAATTCACAGTAAATTAATAAGAGGGTTTTTTGTCAGGACAAGGAGTTTGCTTCATGCTCTTGGGAAGCTCCCTCCTTGTTAACACTGAGAAGAGAAAGTCCAATTGCCTCCATTGAAAAAGCACCCTTAGGATAACCATGACCTGGTTGATTGTGGATCTCCATAGATATTGAGAAGAGAAATGATAACAGTCCCTTTGGATTGTTGTTGGTATTTTTCTCCTAAATGGTAATGAGGAAGGAGCCACTTTTATAGATGTGTGTTTGTGTGTGCAATGTATTCCATAAGGCTGGGCAGTGATACAGTATTTTCCCCAAAATAAGACAGGGTCCTATTTTCTGTTGACCCCCAAAATAAGCACTTGGCCTTATTCTCAGGGAGATCTTATTATTTTTGAGGTGCAGGAGAATGTGAGTGTGGTCACCTCACGGCTGCTGCTGCATTGCAATATTTTCAGGGGAGGGCTTATTTTAGCGCATGCGCTCAAAAGCTCAATTAGGCTTATTATCCGGGGAGGGCTTATTTTCGGGAAAACAGGATATGTTGGTGGCAAAACAGGCAAAATATCAAGCAGAGTTTCAGATCTTCATCTGTTGGGAATAACCACGTTATTTTGCGTTACTGGTTGGTCTTATTGTGATCGCTCCTATTGTTTTAATGCTCCTATGATTGTTTTACATGCGCAAGCTGCCCAGAATTAGTTAACCGTGACGGCAGAAGAATGGTGCAAAATAACAAATACGAAACAAACAGAAGCAGTCATGCCCAATTGAATTTGCTTTCCCTTATTGAATCTTTAGCCCGATCCTAAAAAAATTGTGATCTGAAAACAAGGTGTCCCAGAGGGCAAATTAAAGGTGTGGTTTGAGTGCAGCACAAACAGAAAGAAATTTATATAGGGCAGCATAAGCAAACAAAGATTGATAAACAAACACCAGACTTAATGATGTACAGAATCTTCTGAGTATACCTCATTGGGGGGGGGGGCAGAGTACAGACAGTCCTTGATTTACGACCCCAGTTGAGCTCAAAATTTATGCTGCTAAGCAAGACAGTTGAGATTTTCCTCATGTAATGACCTTCCTTGCCACAGTTGTTAAGTGAATCACTGCAGTTAACACGGTTGTTAAGTGAATCCAGCTTCCCCGCTGACTTTGCTTGTCAGGAAGTCGCAAACGGGGATCACATGAGACACACACCGCAGGACACTGGAACTGTCATAAATGTGAACCAGGGGTCAAGTGGTTTTGATCGCCGCAATGGTCATAAGTGTGAAAAATGCTCAAAAGTCACTGGTTTCAGTGCTGTCGTAACTTCAAAAGGCCATGAATGGTAGTAAGTCGAGGACTATCTGTACTTTGTATCCTTCTTTTTTTTAAATAGTAGTTCCCTTGAAATGTAAGCCTAATGTTTCAACTCCAGGACATCAAGTTAGGTTCTGAGCAACTGGATAGTAACTGCATAGTAGACATTTCATGAGTAAAAACTCAGCAGGAGCCTTAAACAAGGAAGGAAACTAAGATAGTTGCTAAACTAGGTCTGAGGATAGATTCATCCAGAACGACTGGATTCACATCTTTGTTTATTTATTAGGTTTAATATTCCAACTTTCCTCCAAGAACTGAAGGCTACATCTAGGAGAAACCTTCATTTCATCCCCACAACACAACTTCATTTCATCCCCACAACGTCAGTTGACTGAAAGAACAGGACTAGCCCAAAGTCACCCAGTCAACTTGGGTCCCCACATTCTCAATCCATCATCTTGACCGCTCCAACTCCTGGACTGAGAGAGGGACTGGTCTACAGTCACCCAGGGAACTTCAACATTGGGATTCAATGTTTGGGACTCACCAACAATGCTCATCCAATGACTTAATCCAGTTATTTGCCAACTTTAGCAACTTCTACCGTGTTTTCCTGAAAATACGACTGGGTCTTATCTTAATCTTTGCTCCAGGAGATGCATTGGGGCTTATTTTCTGGTTAGGTCTTATTTTGGGGAAGATATTGTACTTAATGCATCAATCGGGCTGACAATCTTAACTGGGGCTTATTTTAGGGGAGGGCTTGTTTAAGAGCATTCTGAAAAATTATTTCCCAATTAAGTCTTATTTCGGGGGAAACAGGGTAGCTGTGTGGACTTCAATTCCCAGAATTCTTCTCAGTGGCTACGCTGGCTGTGTAATTCTGGAATTTGAAGTCCACATGCCTAGAAAATGCCCTGGCTGAGGAACCTCACTTTAATCGCCAGGATCCCTGTTCAAGAGTAACAAAATCCCACTCCAACCTTTCTTGGCCTCTGCAGTACTTACTCTTAAGATGACAAGTCACACGGATGCTCCCGTTTTTCCCACGTCTGGTCGCTGTTCTCTTTGGCAGGACCTTTGTGCATTCCCTAAATGTGACAAGAGATGACCCAATTCATTCATCTAAAGAATGATGGCTTTATTCCTTGATAGCGGAACAGGCAATCTTGAAAATATGGATGGATGCTATTGAAAAACACTCAGGGTGAGGTACTTTTGTAAGGTGGTCAGTGTATATGTGCAAACTGTGAGCATCTGAGAAGAGACCCATCACACTAAAAAGATGTCATCCCTGCAGTGCGCACTGATGTTACCTAGTTTGGTAATGAAACGTCTTCAAAAAAAACCCCACCAAGCTCAGAGAGCACCAAGGACTCCACAATGTATTTTTCATTTTAAATTAGAGGAAGAAAAAGAGACAAAAACCTCTTCCTGCACTTAGAAGTTGTTTTTCTTCCTCTATTTTTAAAAAAAAGATATTGCATCTTCCCAGTATGCTAGATGTTGCCCAATTGACTCATAGCAAAAGCCACGTAGAGCATCAAAACACTCCCAAGGCTTTCTGAGTAACAATTTGGCACAGTTCTTACATTAGTTTGGCACAGTTCTTACCTGCCTATCATTCAAAGGCTAAAGTTGCAAATTTCCTACCAAAGATATTAAAACAGCGTTCACAGCACAATTCCCCTGCCTTCAAACTGGGCAGTCCAACAATCCAAGGGACTGGATACCTTTACCAACTTCAAGACTGAATTTGCTTAACAGAACACACTGGGGGAGAAAAATGAGAGCAATTCTCCATCCAAAACAGTGGTAGGTTCTGGATCTCACTGCAACCGGTACGGTTGCAACGTGGCCCGCTGTCCACCACATGGACGTGTGCAGCGCGCGCATGCGTCCTTACCTCTTGTGATGCCTCCGCGACACTCCAGCTGCTTGGAGGAGTGTTACGCAGGCGCCATGCACTCCGGAAGTGCCAAAGAGCTCAAATACAGGTAAGGAGCTCAGGTGGGCGGGCCCTCCAGAGCAGCATACCGGAATGGTAGCCAGTGCTCTGGGCAGGCACCGGTATGCCCGTACCAAAGCGTACTGCCTACCACCCAAAGCCAACAGAAATTGAAAAAAATTATTCTCCTCAAACAAACTACATTATTGCCTGCCAATTTCCTTGTTCCTTGGATCGGTGCCCTCCATTTCTATCAGGGAAGGATAGAAAGAAAAGGAAAATCCATTTACTGATTCAAATTTTATATATTCTAAGGGATTAGTTTATACGGATAGTCCTCGGCTTACAACAACATTTGAGCCCCAAATTTTTGTGTGTTTTGCCTCATTTTACAACCTTTCTTGCCACAGTTGCTAAGTGAATCAGTGCAGTTGTTAAGTTAATAACATGGTTTTAAGTGAATCTGGCTTCCTCCTTGATTTTGCTTGTCGCAAAAGTGGGATCACATGACCCCAGGACACTGCAATCAACATAAAGATGAGTCAGTTGCTAATCATCTGAATTTTGCTCACCTGACCGGGGGGCACTACAACAGTTGTAAGTGTGAAAATCGGTTATAAGCCACGTTTCCCAGTGCTATTGTAACACTGGTCACTAAATGAATTGTTGTAAGTCAAGGACTACCTGTACAGTAAGGCATTCTTCAATGTAATAACTAAGAGAGTCCTGTAGAAATAATTTCACTGGAGGAAAAAAAACCCTGCTTATTACAACAGCTGGCGCTGTTTGTAACATCTGTTTTAGAGAGATGCACACAGTCACTTATTTTTTTTCCTATATTTGGGTCCCTTCCCCTTATTTCGCTTGTTCAGTACCCTCCCAACTTTAAACTAAGGAAACACTCAAGACCTATCATAAAGTGTAAGATGGGTTATGGGAAATTAGTATCCATGTTTACTTCGGTATTTCACAATCTTTTCCACTTCAAGATATGTGGCTGGGGAATTCTGGGAGTTGAAGTCCACATATCTTGAAGGGACCAAAGTTGAAAAATACTGTTCTATTCAACCTGTTATTACTAATAGGAAATTCCAAATATTTCTAGAATTTTCTACCTTCTGCTCCACTCTCTTCTCAGCACAAGGAGAAACATTAAAAATCTTTTCCTGGTCTTTAAGATTTATGAGACAAAAAGTATTTACATTCTTTTTTCATTTGGGCAGATTATTTTGTGTATTTCAACTATGTGTTTTTTCACTAAGCAGCCACTCAAAATACATACATACATACATACATACATACATACATACATACATAAACAACACACACACACACACACACACACACAAGGTATGGCTGGTGTGTGCCAATGCACACTAAAAATTTTTTTGCACCCACCAAAGAATTCATTATTCAACTACAAGCAGTCCTCAACTTATAAACACAATTGAACCCAAAATTTCCACTGCTAAGCAAGGCAGTGGTTAAGTAAGGTTTGCCCCATTTTGCGACCTTTCTTGCCACAGCCATGAAGTGAATCTCCCCAGTTGTTAAGTTGGTAACGGTTATTAAATGAAACTGGCTTCCCCATTGACTTTGCTCATCAGAAGGTCGCCAAAGGGAATCACATGATCCCAGGATACTGCAATTGTTATAATACATGCCAGTTGCCATGCGTCCAGATTTTGACCATGTGACTACAGGGATGCCGCAACTGTTGTAAGCGTGAAACGGTCATAGGTCCCTTTTTTCAGTGCCACTGAAACTTCAATCAGTCATTAAACAAATGGTTGCAAGTTGAGGACTACCTGTTTACTGTATCTCCATTTAAGCTTCCATTTTAAAACTGCTTAAGACTGCAGAGTAAAACTTTTAACACCCTTATTCACCTATTTTGTGTACTACTTATTGATTTGATCTTTCCTCCAAGCAAAAAAGAGTTATGCATGCAGGCTCACACATATTCATTCTCGGCTGTGACTTCTATGCACCTTCAATAAAAATTTCTTAGGTACCATTTTATAACAAAATTGTAATATGTGTGACAGTAACATCACTGACACCTGCAGTGTCCTTTCCTCAGTCCAGGGGATGCTAGTAAATTTCCTTCTAGCATTTGAATAAGCCTGCAAGGTGGCTTGGGCTCCGAGAAAAAGAGAGAGGCTGATCCACCAAATATTCTCTTGCAATTTGGGGATGTTTTTTGTAATGAACCAAAAGAAATTTCCAGACAACCTTACAGGATTGACTGTCTTCTTTTCGATAGGCGGAAACCTAATCTAATCTTGTTTTAGGATCACACAGACATGGTGGCTCCTCCATGCAAAGTAAATATCTGAAGGTGAAAACAGTGCATGGTAGGGAATCAGTCCCAGTCTTGTTTCTGCCTTGATATCCTCAGTAAAAGAAAAAGAAAAAAAAGAAAAAAAGCCCAGGAAGGAAGCTCCCATTTGAGTGTTTACAGCAGGGGTGTCAAACTCAAGGCCCACGGGCCAGATCTGCCCCCACAGGGTGCTTAGATCTGGTCCAGGGGGCTGCATTGCAAACAATGAAGGACTGGCCCACGGTGCCTCTGTCAACAAAAATGGAGCACACGGCCCTTCTGAGCTCTGTTTTCGCTGGCAGAGGGTTGCAGGAGGCCGTTGTGGCTGAAAACAGAGCTCAGGAGCCCGTTTTCACTGGCAGAACACCCAGGCATCGACATGAGTGACGTTGAGCTGGCCACACCCTCTCTAGCCATGCCCACCCCAGGCCCCTGAGGTCAAACACAATCCTGATGATGGCTGTCACTGAAATAGAGTTTGACACCGATAGTCTACAGTGAGACGCTCTGGTGGGAATCTGGACCAGGCTGAAGGGCAGAAGGAATAACCTTGAGGAACAGGAGGAAGAGACACAACCCAGACAACAGTCAGATAAAGGAAACCTGAGTCTGGGCCAGGACTGTAACCTGAGAAAGTGTCTTAGCAAGGCCTTGCCTCGTTCTCATCAAGATAAAAAGAGGGAAGGGAGAAGCATATTCAGACTTGCAAGATTCTGTTACTGCAGCCTTATAATAATGATAATAATAATAATAGTACAGTATTAGTATTAACTTTGATTTATTAGTTTGGTGTACTATGATGAAGAACTGATGGCATATAAGATGTTCTTGACAGTACCCCTCATGACCAGTAATCATTCAGGAACAATGGGAGCTGATGCCTAATAGCATTTAGACTTATATACCACTTCACAGTGCTTTACAGGACTCTCTACAGAGTTAGTCTATTGCCCCCAAAATCTGGGTCCTCTTTTTACTGATCTTGGAAGGATGGAAGGCTGGCTCCACCTTGAGCCGGTGAGAATCGAACTGCCGAACTGCTGGCAGCCAGCAGAAGTAGACTGTAGTACTAAACTCTAACCACTACGCCATCACGACTCTTTGTGGTGAGAGGACTGGAAGGCCACAGGGCCAAAATTGGCTTTAGAGAAGGGCAAGCAAAAAGGTGGAAAGTGAACCATGATTATTTATTTCCAAACTTGGAAGGGCACTAAGCCCTAAAGCAGTGCTTATCAACCTTGGCAGCTTGAAGACGTGAGGACTTCAACTCCACATAGCTGGCTGGGGAATTCTACCCAGAATTGAAGTTGAAGGGTAGAGTTGAAGTCTACCCATCTTCAGCTGTCAAGGTTGACAAACACTGCCCTAAGGACTTGAAAAACAGGACGCTCTCAGTTAATGCTATGTGGTCAAATAGTGGCCCACAGCTCTATTCCAAACTGGGCAAAAGAAAGCAACAGGAAACCGGGATACGTGGCTTGAGTTGCAGAAGGAAATATTGTGGCTTGGTGACCCTGGAAGCCACAACTCAAAGCAGAAGCTCTCAGGAGCTGCAACGAACACACAAGTCTCCAGAAACCCCAGAATCCATCACCTACCTCTTCTCCAGGTCTGGCAGAGCTCCTTACACAGATCTATTAAGTCCCCCCCTTCCCCCAGGTAACTCCAAAAAGCCGCTCTGTATGGCCCCCCTCCACAACCTTCATGTTCTCGGCAATGCCTGTACATGTATGACAGCTGAGCTGTGCCTGTTTCTTTGGCCTCATTTCACCCGAAGCAGCTGAAACCTGGAGGGAGGGGTAGAGCTACAGGACTAGAAAGGCGCCAGGCGAACTGGCTTATGAAATCCCGGAGCGCTGGTAAAGTTTTTGGGATCTGGAAAAGATTATGGCGGCAACTGTCTCGTCAGCTGATGCCCGGGGAATCTGCAAGCTTGTTAGGGGCTGCAGTCAATCAGCAGGAAGCCATTAAAATGTGGACAAGGCAGCAACATGGGGAGAAAACAGAAGGTATTACTGAAGAATCTGCCAGCTCATTTTCAGCGATGTCTTTTAAGCACAGTACTTACAGGAAAGTTATGACACTTAAGTGTGCTTTCTTGCAAATAAATTTCAAGGACTTGTTTCTGGTAAGTCGTTCACTGCTATGGATCTCTTTTTTTCACTCTGTTATCTTCAGTTCATACTGGTTGGACTCATATATCAAAGGTGACAAATCAAGAAGGCGATTTGTGTGGTTTGGGTTACGCAGTATGTGTAAATCCAGCCGATTATGGCTTTTTCAACAACCAGGGTAAAACAACCCATGATGTGGCATGATATCTGAATTTACTCTTTGTTTTACTGAGAAAGGTTTATTTAGCTTTTCCAAATAACATGTTGTTCTTTCCTCCTTGCATTTGCCCCACATTTCTATCTTGCATTTATAATTTATTTTGGGGCAGGAGTGCTGCTGTAAGATCTATTGTAGCATTTCTATGTTCCAGATTCCTGGTTCTTATAAGGACCAACAAGAGGTTCCTGATTATAGGGAAAAGGAAAGTGCTTTTTCTCCTCTCCCTAAGTTCTTGAACTTGGCTAGTTTCCTTGAAAATGTTTAACAGGAAGTGTGCCTAATTCAAAAGAATTCATGAATTATGTTTGTTATGACAAAAAGGTTAACAGCCCACTGCTCCCAGAATAATTCAAGAAACCATCTGTTTCTAGGATAGTAAATATTTAACTAGAAATTACTTTGAAATCTGCAGAAAAAATTAGCCTATTGAACTATTATCTCTTCTGTTAATTTTTCTCATTTTACAATTGATAGGCACAAGGACAATATTCTAGTTAAGAGACTAAACCTAACACTTTTTTTCCCCCGTGGTCAAAACGATGGCTAATACGACAGAAATCAAAGGCACATTTTCACATCAATTAATCACAGGATTTCAGCATATTCTGTTCAGGAACCTTAGTGTAGTGTTTTTCAACCCTGCGGTATGATCTAAGCACAGTACAGAAAATTGTCTGCTACAAACAATAGATAAAAAACTCAAAGTAAACCGCTCTAAACTTGATTGCAGAAAATACAACTTCGGCAAGAGTGGTCAACGCCTGGAATGCTCTACCTGACTCCGTTGTTACATCCTCAAACCCCCACAGCTTCAACTATCCACCGTGGACCTTACCCCATTCCTAAGAGGTCCGTAAAGGGGGCGTGCATAAGCCTACCAGCATACCTACTGTCCCTGTCCTACTGTTCCCATTTATTTGTATTCATTTCTTTCGTTCATATCCATGATTATATTTATACCTGCTATCTTGTATAAGTTTGACAAACTAATAAATACAAATACAATACAAATTTAAGATGTGCAGACTTCAACTCCCAGAATTCCCCAGCCAGCAGGGGGAAATTTTTCCTGCAGCCAGCAGTAAGGCTGGCCAGGGAATTCTGGGAATTGAAGTCCATGCATCTTAAAAGTTGCCAAGATTGAGAAACATTGTCATAAAACATTAACAGATAATTCTCAGAATCACATTATATAATGGAAGCCCCAAATTTCACCAGCCTTGCCTTCTCCTTGAATTGAAGGTCTCCTTTTAATGCTCATTACCTGAGAGATTTGGCAGTGCTGGGCAACATGTTTTTCAGAGTAATTTAGCTGCCATAATTCATCATCCAGAATACCTGCTAATCAAGCTCCAGGGCTAGTTTTTAGTCTGAAACCTACTGCAATGTCATCTCATTGTTTCTTCTAGTCCGAATGCCAAGCCAACTAAACTTGAAAACGTGGCTCATACAGTGTATTCCAATGTTTATTATCCTGACTTTCAGAAGATATTTGAGGCAGAAAGCAACACATTTTGTTATGAAAACATAATTTCACATTGCCAGCACCAGCACTCAAATATGCTAGCTCTTCCAAGAGTTGATATTATCATGTGTAGTTTTGCTACAGGTAATTCTACATGTAATATAATATACAATATTATATCACATATAATTTATGTGCTTAGCACCACACTTGGGGGACAGATGGACTAATTGAGGTAATATATTTTCAGGTCGTTATTCTTTAATATTACATGTTTGCATTTTCTTGGAGCAGCTGTCACATACCAAGAAGTGAGGGACCATCAGCCCTTTCTTGCCAGGTCTATCTGTTTACATTTCCAGGTTAAAGTTCTGGGAAGGGAAAATGAACAAGGTAGGATGTTTTGGAGGGCAGCCCAAAGAGACCTAACACCCGAAGGGGACCAGATGCTTTATGCCAATCACCAGCCTTGTTATTCTGATCCTGATTTAAACCTACTGGATTAAACCAATTTAAATGCTTTAATTCCAGAGTTGTGCTAATAAAACCTCCGGATTCTTAGGCGCTGGGAACGACTAATGAACCGGTGCCATCAATGTGGGTGAGACCCAAATTTCCTGACCTTCTCTCCCACGCCACAATCTCTGCCCCAAAGAGCCTACTGTTCGAATGTGTATTCATTGGAAGCAAACTAAGGAAGCAGAATTACAATTAAGAAAAGGAGAATCACCATCCATTCTCTGCTCCAGATGTTTGGGCCCTGCAGTGGTTGCTAGCAGTTTTTTGTTTTGCTTTTACCCATTGCCACAAAAAAATTGTGTTCCAACTTCCTTCCTACCCCATGTCTTTTTCATAAACCGTGGTTATTCTTAAACCCTCTTTTCTTTAACGCTGCAACGCACCTACTCAGGTCATCCTCCAGGGTGGGAACCTGGAGTCCTGAATCCCCCTTTCCCAACCACTCTGCCAAACCCATCAGGCGGCTTCCTGGGCCGAAAGGGGAACTCCGGTTCCGTCCCAGCGCCTGCATCCCCCCGTAATAAAAAACCAGGAAGCTGCCTCCTACCTTCCGTGCCGGGGCAACAAGAAAGCAGGGTCTAAAGCCTCTCCCCTCTCTGCGCAAGCACAATGGTATGTCCCTTAAATGACATCTTACCGCCAAGTCGAAACGCCGCCGCAATTTCTACACTTCAAGACCGGACTAAACCAGCTGCTTTTTTCTTAGCAGAAAAAGGGGAAACTGATGGCGGGCAGTTTTTTTTTGACGGAGATAAAGGCGGCAATGCCGCCTGGGAAATGCAGTCCAGCGAATGCGCTTCCATGAAGCTTGACAGGCACTTCGAGAAATACGAATCCCAGAAAGCCTCGCGCGACATGGGAGGAGCCTGACGGGAAATGTATTAAAGAGCATCAGATAACTCTTTGTAACAATGGCAAAGGACGGTCGTGAAGAATAACGAAACAAGCTATTATTTCAATAACTCGTAACTAGTCGTGAAATGCACCAACTTTCAAAAGAGGTGGAAAAATGTATGGAGACTAGGATGACATAGCCCAGTCCCTAGAAAAAGCATATTGCGGATAAAAAATTAATGTAGGATTAATCTCTACATTTATTTTCTTAACATTACAATTCTGATGCAAAGAAGCACTTAAGATATATAGTATATCACAGAAGTGAGTACACCCCCTCACATTTTGTAAATATTTAAGTATATCTTGCCAGCAGTTTAGACATTAATGGCTGTGTTGCATTATTTTGAGGGAACAGCATATTTAGTTATTGAGCTGTATACTCACTACTTTACATTGTAACCAGGTGTCATTTCTTCAGTGTGGTCACATGCAGATAAATATTTACAAAATGTAAGGGGATGTGATATACTGTAATTGTCTTTGAGATTTCTGAATATGTATCCCAGAACTGAAAATAAAAATATCACCAAGTATTTTTCCCACCTTTGACATGTTTCTGATCCTGCTTTCATTGTCATTCCAAGATATATTTTTTTCCTTGAACAGCTACTTTTAGCATAATCAATTTATGCAAATATTCTTCACTCTTAAAAAAATACTATTTATAAATCAAGATGCCTCTGGGAGAAATATATCCGTAGAAATATTTTTTTTAATAAAATGAAAAGTGGAATTATTATTTTTTCCTTTATGTGAACGGAAATAGTCAGAAGATACTGATGTAACTTGAAAACAGGGTTGGCTTTTACATAAGTGTATACATCATGATCATACAAATCTTAACTGAATCAATTAGACAGAAAGCCAATCTGGATTTTTGTCTTTAATGTCTTTATTTTTTGGGATAAAACATTACAAGTGTTAAATACAAAGCTGGTTGCATTAATAGAAAAACAGCGTCCCCTGCTGCTAGCTGAGAGAACAATTCCTCCATTGTTTCAAATCTTTCCATTATTTAACCTAAAATCAAATGGGAACAAATGTTGCTTGTTATAAATGTAATTTTAATGTACAAAAAAGGAACCCACATGATCTTTCTGCCCAACTTTCTCTTCCTGCAACAGGAGTGAGAAGTTAGAAAGTGATTCCATTAAAACAAAATGAAATATTAGCCTGGTGGCTGGCAAATATATTTTGTTACACATAGAAATGGCTCAGGAAGTTTTGGTACCCAATACAGAAAATCAAAAACTGTGTAGTGTTTAAAATAGTAATCCAAACTACCTTTGTAAAATATAAACCTAACATTTTAGCTATATTTTAAATGGCTGAATGTTATGTTATAATTCAATTTTTGTAAATCCACAACTGAATGTTCTTTGCTACCAACAAAGGATATTTGTAACTCAAAGTTGAAATGAAGGATCCTTAGTGCTTTGTGAGCTTGCTTGTTTTCTTGCAGACATTTCATTACCCAAATTAGGTAACAGCATCAGTGTTCAAAGGACACTTAGTATGGTAATGAAATGTCTGCAACAACCAAGCTTAGAGAGCACCAAGGACCCCTTATTTTTGTTAACTCTGGACTTCTGCTTTGCAAAAACATCATTTTTGAGTTTGCTTCTTACCAGGAGAAATTACAGATAGTCCTTTTACAACCAGTCGTTGGGACAGCCTATAATGGGTGCTTTATGGCCTGTACAACTTCTGGCTACTATATTGTAAAATGTGCCCACATCCTCAGTCATATGACCGCACTCTGATCTCTTAAAAACTGTCTTATATTTACACTTACAACATCCCAGTCATCTGACCATGCGTTATAATATTTGTGTGCTGGTTTCAGGGGGGGAAATGCAATTCAGAAGAATGGACTTTTTAAAATTGCTATGTGATCCACTTAACAATTGGAATGATATACTTAACAACCACAGTAAAAAATGTAGGGGAAAAAGTCGTGATGTGGATGCTTCAGTTTACAAATAGAACAATTTAAGATTGGATTTCTAATCCCAATTGACACCATAAATCAAGATCTACTTGTAACTGTTTATAGACGGATTTGCATCCCTGTTTATAATCGTCATTTCACAATCCATTGAATATAATAATTTGGGCTGTGGTTCTAGACCAGTCTGTTTTAATTTATCTACAATGTGTAGTATTTTATTTCTAACAAAAATAATCATCTGCAACTTGCTATATTTTTTTCCATAGTTAAGCATCACTATCTGCTATTTGGGAAACACTTTCGGTTTGCCAAACGATACAGTCAGCATAACACCAGGCAAAGGAAAGTAATGATGGGAAAAGTAAACTGGGCCTGATTCTCAGTGTGAAATCGTGACCCATCAAAACCGCGCTCGACTTATCCGCGCTCGACTAAACGCGTCGCTGACGTCATCAACAGGGCGACAACAGCCAGCGCGGAGAAAGAAGGGCACTTTAAATAGCGCTTTGAAAGCAAGCCGATTCAACTTAAGATAAGGGTTAGGTTTAGGTTACGGGTTAGGTTTAGGTTACGGGTTAGGTTTAGGTTAAGGGTTAGGATTAGGTTTAGGGTTAGGTTAAGGGTTAGGTTTAGGGTTAGGTTAAGGGTTAGGTTTAGGGGGGTTAGGTTTAAGTTTAGGGGTTAATTTTAGGTTTAGGGTTTACAGCGTGCTTGTCTCTGCGCTGTTGTCGCCCTGTTCATGACGTCAGCAACGCGGTTTAGTCGAGCACGGTTTTGTGGTGGAACCGTGTGAAATGGTGTTGATTTAAGCAGGCCCTGTTCAATGGTGAGTCGCTTTTAATATCATAGTCCAAAATCTTTAAAAGTCTATATTAAGCATGGCATCTGTGAAAGATGGATACCAATGACAGGAAAATGGCAGATATAACTGAATGATAAGACCCTGTTTCTTTTTACATGCATGTGATATGTGCCATGCATATGAAAAAAGGCCAGGTATCAATGACCTGGTTGTCCATATTATGATGTTGATGCTATCTATCCCTGTGTTAAACCTTCCCCTATACTAGAGGTGCCCAAACTTGGCAACTGTAAGACTTGTGGACTTCAACTCCCAGAATTCTCCAGCCAGCAATGCAAGTCTTAAAGTTGCCAAGTTTGGGGACCTCTGCCCTACACCTTAATCCACTCATAAAGCTCCTCCATTTGCCACTTTCTATACGTCTAAAGTTATCAAGAATAATCTGTAATTGTACAAAACGAGTATATATATATTTAAATCGATTTAAAAGAGCGCTAAGGAAAAAATGCCATTTAAAAAGTTGTTAAAATCAAAGCAGCTTAATTTTGGTTTCCACCGAAAAAGGCCACTTCCATTTTAGTTCCAGGTAATAGAAATCAGGTAGCTGAGATGTTTGGAGGCTGAAAGATGAAGGGAGACATGCTGAGGGCATGATCTCCTGGGCAAATAAGATGAAGGTGGTGTCTACACTGTCTACTTGGTCATCTTCAAAAACAAGGTCCAGGGATTGTCCAGGCCCAAAAGGACAGGGTGTTCAGCGTCTCTTGGCTTTTGGCTTTGGTGGGGGTGGACGGCTGAGGTAGCCCAGGCGCTTGTAGTTTATAAACAGGAGGGCAAAGTTGAGGATGTAGGTACTGATGCAAATCACACAGAAGTCGTGGAGCACATAAAAAAGGATGTAGGCCAAGTAGAGAGATCCAGCAATGGAGACAAACGAAGAGGCCACTAGAGCGATGGCTGCCAGGTTGTGGTGAAAGAGACCTATGAGGAGAAACCAGGATTAACTTCTCTTCAGCAATTTGAGAGAGGTGCTGTTAATCAGGAGTTAATAGTAAAAACATGAGTTGATTAATGAGCTCGCGCCCTAGAGAGAAGCGGTTTTTCAATGAGCAATTTTAAGGCGCCTGGACTTCAACTCCCACAATTCCCCAGCCAAACATGCCGGCTGCAGGAAGAATCCCTCCACCTTGCTGGCTGGGGAATTCTGGAAGTTGAAATCTGCACATCTTAAAAGTTGTCAGGATTTTAAAAAGTGTTAAGTTGCTCAGATTGAAAAACACTACACCAGAGAAAGTGGCTTGGCTCAGGGGTGAAATGCTACTGATAGTAAAAATGCTACCGAAACAATAGTAAAAAAATGCTTTAAAAAGGTTTTTTTAAAAAGGTTCCCATGATCATGCAGTACCTTTTTCTAAAAAAACATATTAAAGCATTTTTTTACTACCAATTTAGGCGAATAGGTAGTAAAAAAAATGCTTTAAAAAGGTTTTTTTAAAAAGGTTCCCATGATCATGCAGTACCTTTTTCTAAAAAAACATATTAAAGCATTTTTTTACTACCAATTTAGGCGAATAGGTAGTAAAAAAAATGCTTTAAAAAGGTTCAGACATCACGCGGCACAGCTGATCGTGTGTGAGATTAGCGTTTGAGATTTATTTTTGTGTAAAGTGTGATAATTTGTTTTTGAGCTCTCTGTGAGGTTCCTGCACGTTGCAGGGGCCATTTTGTGTGAAGTGCAGCTGCTTTTGCATTGTGTGTGAGTGAGTTGCATAGCTTTTGTAGTATTTTTGTGCAAAGTGTTTTTGAGGTCTCTGTTATTCTGTGAGGTTCCTGTTTGTTGCACCAAGCCACGCCTTTCTGGTCACATGACCGCCAAGCCACACCCACAGAACCGGTAGGGGAAACTTTTGCATTTCACCATTGCATCTGCTCAGAGGTTTGTGTGAATCATGGTTCAGGACTTACCATGGTTGTGTGAATTTACTTCATGTTTGATCAAACTATGGTTAACCAAGCCATGGTTTATTGTAACACATGAATCCAGCTTACATGTGTTTCTCACTTCTCCTTTCCTTATTCTAACTATGGAGTGCTAGTCCCCACCTATCCCCATAAAATCACTCCCTCTAAAGATCACTGTTCTTTTTCTTTGGCATTCCCACAGTACAATTCTTGTGCAACCATTGTGTCACATCTCTTACCTAATGAGCACGTTCTGTCTGCAAAAAAACCATTTTTTTTTTTAAAAAAGATCTTTTTATTTTTTACATTTCTGCAGACTTGGAACTTTATCAAGTATTTATCACCTTTCATTTGTTTCTCATCCTAGAGCTGAGGTAGCGCAGTGGTTAAGAGTGCAGTACTGCAGGCTATTTCAGCTGACTACTAGCTGCAGTTCGGTAGGTCAAATCCCACCAGGCTCAAGGTTGACTCAGCCTTCCATCCTTCCGAGGTGGGTAAAATGAGGACCCAGAGGGTTGGGGGCAATAGGCTGACTCTGTAAATCGCTTAGAGAGGGCTGCAAAAGACTAGGAAGCAATATAGAAGTCTAAATGCTATTGTTGCCTATTCCTAATCCTCTTCTATTGATGTGCATGATTCAAGCAAGAGTAATACAGTCAGACCTTAACTTACAACCATGATATTTTTGCCACAAAATTGGCCTTTATTCTAGTTTTTGCCACCACCACCCCACCCAATCAGCTAAAATGGATTCCCTTAACCATGCCAATAAAGGAGGCTATAAAATTGGGTACAGTCACATGACTAGCATGACTTACGACTGTAACGCTAAGCTCAACTGTAGTCATAAGTTGAGGACTACCTGTATTATGAATATTTGAAGATAAACCAGCCAACTTGTTTCTTCTACTAAGGAAGACAATAAATTAATGCTGGCTAGTAAGCCATGTGAAAAAACTGCACTAACTAAACCTGCTTGAATGACCATTTGTGATGGCAACCTAGCTCACAACACACACACACACACACACAAAATGTACACCTAAATCAATAACAACAGGATTGTGAGGCAATCAGGGTCTAAAGCGGTCAAAAGGCTGGGCCTCTCTCCATCATGTTTTCTCCTGCACATCCTGTGCCTCTTAACTCACCCAGAAGTATCTGCAGAATGTAGAAAATAATCCCAAAAACGCTGTTTGGCTGATTGAAGAGGCTGTGAGGTCCCAGAATGCCTGCCACCAAGCCAAAACCACGACCCCACCTGGAAGAAATAATGCTGGGTAATGATTACAGTGACAATAAGCAGAGGTTTGGGACTTGGAATTCCCCGGAATCTCAGCTAGATGGAGAAATAGAAAAACAGCCCATTGTCTTGAAAGAGGTACAGGCAATATATGTGTGTATGTTTGTGTGTTACACTTGACAGAAGGGAAATTGGGCATTGAAGAAACAGGAGAAAAAGAGTATTGAGTAGGTCTTTGCATTACGATTGTGACTGGGACCAGAAATTCTGTTAAGAAAGATGGTTGTTACATGCATCATGCCCGATTTTACGATTGTTTTTGCCATGGCTGTTAAGCGAACCATGGACATTACTAAATATTATGTAGCTATTAAGCAATTCTGCTTCCCACATTGACGTTCCTTGTTGGAAAGTGGGCAGGAAGATTGCAAATGGTGATCACATCACCCCGGGACCTGCCAGTATCCTAAATACATGCTGCTTACCAAGCGCCCTAATTTTGATCACCTGAGCTTGGAGATGCTACAGACAGTTGTAAGTGTGTGCAGCTTGAAGAATCAGGTGCACACATTATGTTGTTAAACTCACTGTGTATGGACAGCTCATGTCTGTATACAAGAATCCAATCAACTGTGGCACTGAATTAGTGCTAGATAAGACTTAATTGGAATTTAAGGAGGGGTGGACTTGGGTTGTTTGTGGGAAGACTATTCCAAGCTAATTCCTCTCTTGACTCTGCCCCCAGTTTCTGCCTTGTCTTTTCCTACAGTAAGTACCGTTTGTAAGTCAGTTTTTCTAGGGCAGTTGCAACTGTGAACACTCACTAAACAAATGGTTGTAAGTCAAGAACTAGCTGTATTGATGCTTCTCAACTTTGTCGTGGGAGAAGACTTCTTAGAATACCATGGGCAGGCAAGAAAAAAGCAGACGGCCTCATTGAACAAACCAGCCCAGAATTCTCACACAGGAGAGACTGTGCTGTTCTGAACTGGATGTGAAGATAGGACAAGATTCAGGGTAGCCACACCTGAGAATCTCTAAGGATGTATTTATGAAATTACAAGCTTATAACTATAGTCTGGCAAGATTCTGTCTATTAGGTGTGAGCAAATAAAATACTGGATGCAGTTAGATTCACTGTGTCGTCTTTACAGGTAGTCCTTGATTTACAACCATAACTGAGGCCAAAATATATGTTGCTAAGTAAGATACATGTCAAGTGAATTTTGCCCCATTTTATGACCTTTCTTGCCACAGTTGTGTCAAGACACAAATGACCATGTTTAAACAAGCCTACTTTGGACATATTATAGAAAGATGTAGTTATCTGGTGAAGGCTTGAATGGGGTGATTGTATTAGTCTGCCCCTCCCTTGCCTCATATTTTGTTTTGTTTTACAGGCTGCCCAACTCCCACATGATTCTGGACAACTTATAACAAAAACCCAAATTATTAAATGCACAGCTACAGTATAGGTGGTGCCTTGCTCAATAGCGGTAACTGGGAAAGGGATCTTGGAGTCCTAGTGGACAACCATTTAAATATGAGCCAGTAGCGTGCAGCAGCTGCCAAAAAAAGCCAACACAGTTCTAGGCTGCATAAACAGAGGGTTAGAATCAAGATCACATGAAATGTGTTAATACCAATTTATAATGCCTTGCTAAGGCCACACTTGGAATACTGCAGCTAATTTTGGTCGCCACGATGTAAAAAAGATGTTGAGACTCTAGAAAGAGTGCAGAGAAGAACAACAAAGAAGATTAGGAGGCTAAAACATATGAAGAACGGTTGCAGGAACTGGATATGTTTAGTTTAATGAAAAGAAGGACTAGGGGAGACATGATAGCAGCTTTCCAATATCTCAGGGGTTGCCACAAAGAAGAAGGAGTCAAACTATTCTCCAAGGCACCTGAGGGTAGAACAAGAAACAATGGGTGGAAACAAGGGGAAGCAACTTAGAAGGAGAAAATTTCCTGACAGTTAGAACAATTAATCAGTGGAACAATTTGCCTCCAGAAGTTGTGAATGCTCAAACACTGGAAGTTTTTAAGAAGATGTTGGATAACCATTTGCCTGAAGTGGTGTAGGGTTTCTTGCCTAAGCAGTGGGTTGGACTAGAAGACCTCAAAGGTCCCTTCCAATTCTGTTATTCTAATTCTAAATGAAAAATTAAACAATGAACCAGAAGAGCAAAGCATGAAAACAAAAAAACACAGTGAAAATAAAAAGTGGCTTCCCAGTCCCTCTGATCCCAAGGCCTGAGAGTCTTCTATAATTTTCAGAATACCATCACGCCACTGGAAGCTTCATGAATTTCAGGAGGGAAAATTGGTCCAGAGGGCAGGAACTGCCCACAGTATAGGCCCAGTTCCTGGGTCAAGAAAAATGATACTCTTTACTTTCAGTTTCATAAAATTTGTATGCCGCCCACTCCCATTGGGACTCTGGGTGGCTCACAAGCAAGACAAAAGCATTTTAAAAAGTTAAGAAAAGATATAATTATTAAAATTGATACACCATCCATTCAGTCTAAGTGGGGCTGGATATTAATCAACAGCCCCAGGCCTGCTGGAACAGCCAGATCTTGGTCGCTTTACGGAAGGCCGGGAGAGTGGTAAGGGTCCGGATCTCAACGGGTAGATCGTTCCACAGGGCTGGTGCAGCTACAGAGAAGGTCCTCCCTCGGGGGGCCGCCAGCCGGCATTGACCGGTCGACGGCTCCTGGAGGAGGCCCAACCTGTGCGATCTTATTGGTCGTTGGGAGGTGAATGGCAGGAGGCGGTCTCTCAGGTAGCCAGGTCCTATACCATGTAGGGCTTTAAAAGTAATGACTAGCACCTTGAAGCGCGTCCAGAGACCAATGGGGAGCCAGTGTAGCTCGCAGAGGATAGGTGTAACATGGGTGTATCTAGGTACACCCATTATTGTTCACGCAGCTGCATTCTGGACCAACTGCAGTCTTCGAACACTCTTCAGGGGCAGCCCCATGTAGAGCGCATTACAGTAATCCAGTCTTGAGGTGACGAGGGCATGAGTGACCATTTGAAGTGCCTACTGGTCCAGGTAGGGCCGCAACTGGTGCACCAGGCGAACCTGGGCAAAGGCCCCCCTGGTCACAGCTGACAGATGGTGTTCTAACGTCAGCTGTGGATCCAGGAGGACACCCAAATTGCGGGCCCTCTCCGAGGGGTGTATAATTTCACCCCCCAGGCTAAGAGGTGGAATGTCTGGACCATCCTTGGGAGGCAGCATCAATAGCCACTCGGTCTTGTCTGGATTGAGTGCAAGCTTTAATTGGCAGGCCCCAAAGCTCACCTGACCTGCTGAACCGAGGCAGAGATAACTAAAGATAAGCAGTCCCTTATGTAACCAGGCCCTTTGCTATGCAAGACCAGGACCATGAATTGCATCCAGAAGTCAACTGGCCATCAATGCAGCTCATGCAATATTTGCAAATGATGAGAAACTCTGCCAACTCCTTTTCAGCTCTTTTCTCTCTTGGCCTCCAGAAAGGACACTCATCTCTCACTGGGTATTGAGAGGCAAAGTCATCCAAAAATCAATCAAGTCCTTTTCAGTGGTGCTGAAAGATAAGGAGTTCACATCACAGCTCAAATGCTGGTTCTGATGAGAAAGACTGTCTTCTCCCCCCTCCCCCAAATTTTCTGGGAATTATATTGCAGCCTAACCAGAGACTAAAATGACAAGGGCATTTCAGCTAAATTGTAGAGTAGCGAGTCCTGGGCCAGGAGCCACAGATTTACTTATAAACGCAACGTGGGTGAAGAGACAGAACAAGGGGGATGGGAACCACATTATCAAATAGTTCAGTTCTATTCGAGCCTGTGATTAAACTAGCTTTCTCCATAATTAACTTTTTTCTGAAAGAAGGGCTGTCCCTTTCATTTGCATGGAGAATTTTTATTTATTTGCATTTTGCTTTTTATTTTTACAAATGATTAAAACACACAAATTCTCCCTCGCAACTGATACAGGACATTATCCCAGGGAGAATGAAAACTAAACTTTGGATAATTCTTAATCTTTTGTTCTTTACAGGTAAGTTGTTTGCTTATGACCACAACTGATCACAAAATGTTTGTTACCAAGGAAGTCAGTTGCTACATAAATTTTGCACTACTGAACATCCCTTTTTGCCAGAGTTATTAGGCAAATCATTGCGGTTCTTAAGTGAACCATACGGCCATTAAATGCATCTGCCTCCCCCCTCCACACCGATTTTGCTTGTTGGAAGCTGGCTGGGAAAGTTATAAACAGTGGCCACACGATCCAGGACAGCGCAACTTCATAATAAATACATATATGCATCCAAATTGTGATCACGTGGCCACAGGGATGTGGCAATGGTCGCTAAGGGGTGAAAACTGGTCATAAATCACATTTTTGCTTTTGTAACATTAAACAGCTATTAAAGGAATGATTGTAAGCAGGGCCGTGGAGAGGATTATTAAGTGTGGGAACAAGACTAATATGGGCCCCCTCACCTACACAGATACATAAATCAATGATGGCATAATTGTACATTTATTAATTACAAACACACTTGCAAATATATTAAAAAGAGGATAGGTACTTCTATAAAAGATAATGGAAACAATACAAATTAAAATTTGGTTTTGGATTTTTTTTAAAAAAAAATTCCCTTCATGGGTCTCCTTTGAACTCCATCCCCCCAACCCCCCCCCCCCAATGTGCTGGCTGCACCCCCTCTCCTCAGATCTGGTTGTAAGTCAAAGACTATCCATTGTGAAAGAAGACTGAAAGCCCAGATCACATTAGTCAGCTCTATAATATCAAATGTCCTGGGAGAGCAATTTGATCCTCTTCTTGGTAAACCTACAATGGGGAATCTGAAAAGAAGTGCTGCCAGTTTCCCCCAACAGCAGAAACCCATTGGCTTCTCCTGGGCTAAGACCAGGCCCGGTTCACACAGTACACGAACAGGAGACCACCAGAGGATCCCAGGGCTGCAGGATCGATTGGGAGGGCAGGAGAAACTATTTAAAGAAAGCAAAAAGACCAGCCACTTCCGGATTTTTGCTAAGAAAATTACAGGATGTCCAAAACCCAAGCTCGGCTCTTAAAAACGTCCGGGGCCCTAAACCTCCGCCCTGGCGCGCAGGAATATTGCAACTTCACACTCTGAATTCCTGCAGCCCTGGATCTCCTGGTAGTCTCCCGTCCGGAATAAACGTCTCAACCTGGAAATGGAGAAACGTAGGGAAAGTCAATAGGAGCCCGACAAACCCCAATCCCTTCCACTTAATGGACCCGGAGTTTAGGGGATGCCAGCTTAGAGGGCGGAGAAGCTTGGGACCCACTGGATCGGAGCTGGGATGGGGTGGGGGACCACCGACCTGGAGGTGAAGACCTTGGAGCAGCTGATGTCGGGGCTTATGTCACACATAGCCCGGTAGGCGGCGTCGCGCTCCTTGGAAGTCTCCACGTGCCAGGCATAAATAGAGAGCGCCAGCCCCGCCGCGCAGAGGAGCAACCGGGCTACGCGCTCCCACCTGGGCACCGTCATCCTGCCGGTCGGCCACGAGGAGAGGACACTGACCGCTGGAACCAATGCTGCTCCTTCCAGCCTGGCCCGGGGACACTAGGCCGTTTCCCATTGGCCGGCCTGCGGGCGTTCGAACAGCCATTCTAGCCAATCAGAAAGCGGGGAAGGAAAAGGAGCAAGGCATGCTGGGGGTTGTAGTCTTCTGGCGTTCTCTAAATTAGGGGCCTTCCTCCTGAGCGTCTCAGGTTGGCCTAGGATCAGGAATGATAATAGACTAGGTCTAGGACAGGGGATTCCAACCTTGGCAACTTTAAGATGTGTGGACTTCAACTCCCAGAGCTGGCTGAGGAACTCTGGGAGTTAAGTCCACAAGTGCAAAACTGAAATTCAATTTTTTTTACCACTGGATCTGTGAGCCTGGCTTGGTGGGTGTGGCAGGGGAAGGATACTGCATAATCTCCATTCCCACCCCACTCTCGGGCCAGCCAGAGGTAGTATTTGCCTACTTTGAACTACTCAAAATGTTCGCTAGCGGTTCTCCAGAACCCGTCAGAACCTGCTGAATTTCACCCCTGTTGGAGACCTCTGATCTAGGAGAATGTGTCACCTGAGTTCTTAAAAGACAAGGGCTCCCTCGAATTCCGGTGGAACTCCGGCAACCCCATGGACATGTCTTGATTAGAGCAACAATACAGAAGTGTCTAGAAATTACCCTTCAGGGATGTTTTCCCCACCATTAGACTACAGTGCAGCCCTGATATTTTCACGCAGCCAGATGCCAGCTTGTGTAGCGTTTCTAAGAGGATTGGGGTAGTGGGGCTTTGGTGTGATAGGTAACTCTTCCCACAACTTTGTAGATGGAGTCTGTAGAGATACTCAAGACATCCAGGTCATGGGTGTCTCAAAAGGTTTTTTTTTTCCAGGATGCAACTGGACTTTCTTGTTTTTTCTTGGAGGACGTTTTGCTCCTCATCCAAGAGGCTTCTTCAGCTCTGACAGGATAGTGGGGAATGGAAGGATTTATATTCCTTGCAGACAGCTGGTCATTTACATTTTTTTTAGAGCAGGGGTGTCAAACGTGCGGCGTCACGGCGGCCTCACGTGACGTATTGGGACTCCCCCCCCCCTTTGTTAAACTGTCATGGCCATGGCCAGCATGTGACGTATCTGGGCTGCAAGGTTGACACCCCTGTTTTAGAGGGTCCTTGAAGCACTTGAAGGTTTATCTGTGTCATCAGGGTCAACTGAGTGGTGCTCCTGGTTCCTGTAGTCTGGAATTTTTCTTTGGAAATCCATTCCTACTCCCACACCCTTCAAAGGGTGTTTAATCCCAAATTGTATAGCTAAAAGTCTGGAGAAATTCCCAGTTATCCAGATCATAGTTTTTCCAAAGATGCTTTTTCAGGAAGCAACTGGACTTGTTTTTTCTTTGAAGACATTTGTAGGTGGATGCAAAGATGCTAAGTTTTTCTGACTCTGCTGCTGGCCAGTAGTCATCCAGATTCTTTGTAGCCCAGATCAGAGAGCTGACTGGTTGGGCTGTGGAATTGTGTGGCTAGAAAGAAAATAACTACTGGTTTTAATTTGGTGTGAACAGTCCTACATTTTGGCTGTCTCGAAAGAGGAACTTACAGTTGGTGCCCAAACAGGTTAGCAAAACTCAGGGTGGGAGAGGGTGGGAAGAAAAATACCAGTACATTTTTATGTGCTTGTAGTTTATCCTAAAGCTTATACATTACATTGTGTTAGAACTGAAGGAGCCTTAAATGTTGTTCAGTTATTTGTTTATCTAAAACTGTTTTGTTTGATGTTTTTGGTTTTTGTTCTCAGAACAACTGCCAGCAAAGATAAATCAGCAAATCAGCACTAAAACAAAATGGAAAAAACAGCATTAACAATAGGCTGGATAAAGCAAATTAAGGCCAAATTAAAATAAACTGATTTCTGCCTCATTGCCAAGGCAGCATGAAAATAATTCTGGGCGTAGTTATCAGGAAATGTATTCTTTAGCTGGAAGCTTCCGATAAAACAGTTGCTTGGGTTCATGGTTTTTTCCCAATAGAGGAACCCGGAAAAATCTTGATCAAATGATTTAGGACAGAAGTTCCCAACTGTGGCAAAACATATTGACTAGGGAATTCTGGGAGTTGAAGTGCCTTAAAGTTGCCAAGGTTGGAAAACTCTGATTTAGAGGCATTGGGCAGCAAGTTGTGAAAGATTTTAAGGCTCCAAAGCATTTCAGATTGAGCTGTGAAGAGAAAGTGATCCCAACTAAGTAATTCAGCAGTTTCAAAATGACATGCTGGTGTTTGCTGTGCCTCAATGATTAACCATGCAAGCTTTGTTTTAAATAAATAGGAATGTCTAAATAATCTACAGAGATAAATCTCGTGGACCACGCACCAAAGTAATGCAGCTGGGAATTTGCCAAGGCCTCAATAATTTTAGGTATACAGGTAGTTCTTGACTTATGGCTACAATTGAGCCCAAAGGTTCTGTTGCTAAGTTGTTAAATGAGTTTTGCCCCATTTTATGGCCTTTCATGCCACAGTTATTCAATGAATCTCTGCATTTGTTAAGTTAGTAACACAATTATTAAGTGCATCCGGCTTCCCCACTGGCTTTGTTTGTCAGAAAGTCGCAAAAATTGATCACACAACCCTGGGACACCGCTCCTGTCATAAATATGAACCAATTGCCAAACGTCCAGATTTTGATCATGTAACCATGGGGATGCTGCAACAGCCGTAAGTGTGAAAAAAAGTCTTAGTCATTTTTTTTCAATGCCATCATAACTTTGAATAGTCATTAAACAAATTATTGTAAGTCAAGGACTTCCTGCATATATGGAGTTCAAAGGTGGGTTTCTGCCGGATTGGGCAAACTGGTGTGGCGGTAGCAGGAGGCTCTGCCCACCAACCCAGATGCTCCTGTGTATGCGCGAGCGCACACAAGCAAACCAATAGTAAAATAAATTGAAACCCACCATTGATGTAGTTATTTCATTTAATGCAATGAAATGAACAGGACAATAAATCTGTAAGTGACTAGGATCCAAACCGGAGATCGTGCCCTAGTTAAATTTACCCATGGAAGAAGTAAGTGGTCGAGTAGCATTGGGAAAGAAAATGTTTAGTTCTATAATAGCTAAACAGATAGGACCAAAGGAATTGCTTCTCTACTAGCCAAACACTTGTTTTTTTTTAAAGTAGGAAGGGAAAAAAATATTTAAATCAGGGGTGTCCAATCTTGGCAACTTTAATGCTTGGGGACTTCAACTTCCAGGATTCCTCCGCCAGCCAATGAAGTCCACAAGTCTTAAGGGTGCCAAGGTTGGACACCTCTGATTTAAATGGTATGAGGTGGGGGTAGGATAGAAGTCAAAGCAATCAAAAGCTATCCTAACAGGAAAAAAAGCTTTCTTATGGTCTGTGAACTTGTATGATCTCATTTCCAGAGAACAGGGATAACTGGTTGGTTGGCACATTTAATAGGAACACCTATACTGCAATAAAATGAGGCTCCAGGTCTCATTTTATAGGTGTCAGTTGAAATGGGTGTTCCAATGCTCTGTCGGGAAAGGAACAAACATTTGATCTTTGTAGCCAAATGTTAGATTACATTGTCTTTTATTAATTACATTGTCTTTTATTAATATTTAACTTTGAACAATGTCCCGCCTAGGTTTTATTTTTTAATATATTTTCATTTCATTTTCTTTATTGTATTTTTGAATGGCCCATCTCCTTCACAAAGGGACACTAGGCAATGTACAATAAAACTGTGTTTCCCCGAAAATAAGATAGGATCTTATTTTCCTTCCCCCTCCCAAAATAAGCACTTGGCCTTATTTTCGGGGAGGTCTTAGTGTTTTTGAGGTGCAGGAGGCGACGAGCATGGTCACCTCATGGCAGCTGCTGTGTTGCAATATTTTTGGGGAGGGCTTATTTTCAGGGGTGGGTTTATTTTAGTGCATGCGCTCAAAAGCCTGACTGGGCTTATTATTTGGGGAGATCTTATTTTCGAGGAAACAGGGTACATTAAAAGATTAAAAACAGTATATGAAAGTTAACATTTAAAAGAGGCAAAGATGGCGCTGCCGGCGGTAGCGTTGGTGAAATGCTCTCTGATAGTTTGCTGTTTTTTATCATTCTCTGTGATTCACTGCGGATATCATACTCAAGAGATGAATGTATTTTTTTCTTTTTTTCCTTTTATGCACATTAAAGACAAATTCCTTGTGTTTGCAGTCACACTTGGCCAATAAAAATTCTATTCTGTTCTATTCAATCCTGCATTTTGTGCAACTCTTCTCTTTTTTGATTGCTTAGATCCTTTTGCAACAATTCTTGGCTAAACACTTGCTTTAAATATATCCATAGTAGCACATGAATATGCAGCTTCTTCTTCTTTTTAATCCCAGCATGCTATGAAAGCATGACATGAATGGAAACGTAAAAGGAGAAATGGCATCTAAAGGTAGATTAAAAGTTTGATGTATGTGCATTAAAAAAATAGTCTTATGTTTTCCCAAGGCAAAAATTAATACATGTAGTCCTTGACTTGCGACCCCAATTGAGCCCAAAATTTATATTGCTTAAATGAGAAAAATGTGCTTAACAAATTTCCCACTTAGAGAACTTTTCTTGGCACATTTGTTAACTGAATTGCTGTAGTTGCTAACTTAGTAACAGTATTGTTAAGTGAATCTGGTTTCTCCATTGTCTGTGTTTGTCGGAGGTTTGCAAAAGATGATCATAAGACCCCCAGGACATGGCAGCTGTCATAAATGTGAGTCAGTTTTCAAGCATCTGAATATAAATCAAATGACTATGGGGATGCTGCATTGACCGCATTTTACAACAGTTTTTCTGAAAACCCAGGACTTCTGGGTTTGGGCAAAACTGCTCCCATAGCAAATCAATGATTCACTTAACAATGTAAAGTTTTGAATGCAAAAAAAATGTAAAAAAGATGTGGAGACTCTAGAAAGAGCACAGAGAAGAACAACAAAGATGATTAGGAGACTGGAGGCTAAAACATTTGAAGAACGGTTGCAGGAACTGGGTATGTCTAGTTT